GACCATGTTTCCCTCGCCCTGTGATGTCGGAAGGCTGCCCTGCATAATGATGCCTGTTTCCGTAATTGGCGGCGTCAACATCGAGCACATCATTTGAGAAAGAGAATTTTTTTTGAGAATTTTCGCACATTGCCTCCTGTGCTGTTTGTAAATGTAGTGGCGTGAAAATCAGTCCTAGATCCAAAACATTGATATACACTGCTTCCGCTTGGCGTATTGAATGCAGTTATATAAATTTTTCCCAGATACTGAGGAGGTACACCCGAAAAACAAAACTGTGGAGCCCGATGTGGTCACGTCCGCAATAGTCGGCGCCCTCTCCGCGTTTTCGAAGCCCGTCGATTTAAGTTCCATGGCATGAGAACTCATTGTGAGCTTGCTATTCTGTTCTGGAGTGAACTAGTTATATGTAGAGTAAACGCTCCTGCGACATTTTTTTCAATGCGAAGCGTTTCTTAGCGAACTTCGGCAACTTTAAGCGTATCTATCTATCTATCTATCTATCTATCTATCTATATCTATCTATCTATCTATCTATCTATCTATCTATCTATCTATCTATCTATCTATCTATCTATCTATCTATCTATCTATCTATCTATCTATCTATCTATCTATCTATCTATCTATCTATCTATCTATCTATCTATCTATCTATCTATCTATCTAGCTGCGTACGACTTTTAGCTCTCCTGGCGGTTTCGATGATTGTATTGATACTGTCGCGGTACAACGCGAATAAAACACAGGTACACCTTGGACCGACGAAAGCAGCGTGTCCTCGACAGCTCAGTCACAAGATCATCTTTTTCAGCCTCGAGAGAAGCTGGAGGCCCACTACCTCGTGCCCACTAAATGCCCCATCATCGTTATCATCCACATGTAGACACGCGTCATTTGCCTCTCTCCCAAAGAGCATCGCCCCGATGCGCAGTCTGTAATGCAGTTTTTTTTTCTAAATTAAAGTATCATGCAATCACTCGCTGACGTAGGGTTTCATGCGGACTACGTGAACGAGTTCAGGATGGTGCTGGCGACGCCTTGTACTATACGAACAGGCGGGAACAACTTCGTAAGTGACATCGCTCAGTCGTCGCACAACTAGGTACGGTCCAAAGTATCTTCTTAAGAGTTTTTCAGAAAGTCCTCGTTTTCGTATGGGCGTCCAGACCCATACTTTGTCGCCAGTTTGGTAGACGACTGTTCTGCGGTGAGCATTGTAGCGGCCTGCATCGTAGTCTTGCTGTTGGCTGATCCGTAAACGTGCAAGTTGCCTAGCTTCTTCTGCGCGTTCTGTAAACGTGTCTGTCGGCGTCCAGGACGATGTCGTCGCCTTCGTGCAGTAACATTGCATCTAACATGGTTCGTACCTCCCGTCCATGAACGAGGCTGAAAGGTGTCATGCGGGTCGTTTCTTGCTTGGCCGTGTTGTATGCAAACGTTATGTAAGGCAAGATTGTAACCCAATTTTTGTGTTCGACGTCAACGTACATCGAAAGCATGTCTTCAATGGTTTTGTTGAGACGCTCTGTCAGCCCGTTCGTTTGTGGGTGGTATGCGGTGGTCTTACGATGCGTTGTTCCACTCAGCATCAAAACATGGTCCAAAAGAGCTGCTGTAAATGCGGTTCCTCTGTCTGTGATTACGACGGTTGGTGCACCATGCCTCAGTACGATATTCTCGATAAAAAATCTTGCCACCTCCGCTGCTGTACCTCTCTGGATAGCCTTTGTCTCGGCATAACGGGTCAAATAATCCGTCGCGACGATAACCCATCGGTTGCCTGCGGTAGACGTAGGGAGTGGGCCCAAAATGTCCATGCCGATCTGGTGGAATGGAGTCATTGGGACCTGCACGGGTTGCAGGAGGCCAGCTGGTTTAGTTGGCGGTGACTTGCGTCGCTGGCAGTCGAGACAAGTACGAACGTGGTGCTTCACGGCTGTGGTTAGTCTTGGCCAGTAATACCTTTGCTGTACCCTGGCCAACGTTCTTGTGTAACCCAAGTGGCCAGAGGTAACCTCGTTGTGGCATGCTTTCAGTACTTCGGTGCGAAGGGCTGCTGGGATGACGAGCAGATAGGCAGATCCCGTCGACGAAAAATTTCTTTTATAGAGTACTCCGTCACGTAAACAAAATGATGACAACGCTCTTGCGAAAACTCTTGGCGCCTTCCGAGATCTGCCATCCAAGTAGGTAATTAAGCCAAGCAACTCAGCGTCGTCTCGTTGTTGCTGCGCAATGGTGGTCGAGTCGAGGACACCGAGAAATGATGTTTCCTCCTCCTCGGGTCGGGTTGCCGACTCAATGGGTGAACGGGACAAACAGTCGGCGTCCATATGTCGCTTCCCTGACTTATGTACGACTGCCATGTCGAATTCCTGCAGCCTGAGACTCCAACGCGCTAATCGGCCGGTAGGGTCTTTAAGATTAGTTAACCAACACAGTGAGTGGTGGTCGCTAATTACTTTGAAGGGGCGGCCATATAAATACGGACGAAATTTCGTAACCGGCGCAGTGCGCGCGCGGCGGCTTTCATCTCTCACGCGCCCGCGTAGAGAATAAAGGGGTGTGCGGTCGATCGCGCGCCCTTATCTTGCAGTGGGGAGAATAGTACATCTCTTCTAGCCTTTGAGTTTCGTCGGAACGATCATGATGTAGTTGCCGGGCGCACAAAGGTCACTGCGATCGTTGCACAGCCTCCGTTTGCGAAAAGAGCACGCTTTTCAGACACAGCGAAGCAACAACTGAGACGCTTATTTGCGTTAATCTGTACCTGTGAGTACATTTCGTGCGTTCTTCGTGCGTGAGAAACGCGGGTCACGTTTCGACCTTCTTGCCATTCTGTGCGTGACCTTCCAATTTTTGCTTTCGCGTTCATTGCTTCGCCTTTGCGGCAAAGCTGTGACAGTTTTTTTCTAAAGCCTGCCTTTAAGCTTATTAGCTACTAATAATTCCGCATACGTAGTATGCCAAAGTGAGCGTAATTAACGACCTAAATAAGCATACTGATACTGTAACCTTCCGATATCCAAGGGACCTTGCAACACGTCATTCATTGCGTTTTATCCTACATATATATATATACCCTGTGCCTAGCTTGAGGCGTACACTAGGTTATTTATGCCGTGTGCACAAGGCATGCACAAGTTCTAGTGCGCACAATGTTAACATTTTCCTCATTAAAGATGAGCTAAGCTCGTCTACCCTGAAACAAGAATTTGGAGCAACCACGCTTTACTGATTCATTTTGCTGTTTTCTCCTTGATTTGAACAAACGATACAATTTAAAAAAATAATGTAAGCTCTATAGAAATAGGAAAAGCTGGGCGGGTTGGTTCACGTTAATATGCGAGAAAAAACAGCAAAAACTCAGGAAAGTGATTCAGAAGAAGGCGCATTCAATCACACACCGGCGACAGTGTGCGATTGAATGTGCCTTCTACGTCAAATATGGTTGATTGCGCGAGTTGATGATACGTGATTGTTTTGAAATGAGAGCGCCCTACTTAGACGCGTTCTTGCTCTGAGTTTTCACTTGTTTTTCTCTCATCTTAAAACGTGCTGAAAACACACATTTTGGTTGAGACAGGGCTTGAAATGGCGTCCTCTCTTGTAGGTGAGCAGCGCGCGTGGCGGCAACAGCACCGTTTAGAGAAAGGAGAGAAAAAAAAAATCCCTGTTTGCCGAAGTTTCGTGAAATTAAGAAAAGTCGGAGTTCTCTTGCGAGTGCGGGAATGAAAGCACAGAGAAGCATATTTTCTTTAAATCATCGGACGCAGACAACGATCTCGTCTCGCACTATCGGCAGAGGACGACGTTTGGTGTATACGCAAAACCCCAAAAGTGCGGCCAAGATTTGCTTTCACGGACCCTGCTTTTTATTTATTAAATTTCAGACATTTTCTGCGCCAGAATCGGAGAGGTTAGGGCACTTTTCGTGGTGCTACGTAGCGAACCATATTGCGAATAAAGCGCCTGCGAATAATTTTTCCTATGTTGTGTCAAGACACGTGGAATCAAATCGGCAAACAAACAAACAAATGGTATAAGCGAGGGTGGCGCAGAGCGAATGACGAGTGCCTGTGTGTGTTCTGTCTGTCCCGTCCTCGTCAATTCAGTGCCACGCTTAACGTCAGAAACACGCAAAAAAAAAAAAGATGGCATTTTTACACCATTTCTAACCAAAAAACTCGGTAGGAAAAGGATTAAGTGATTTGGAACGTGGAGAAATTTCGCCGCAGTGACCTCCCCCCCCTTTTTTATCTCATTCATTCTATTGAGGCTCTTCACGATCATAACGCAGTGCGAAAGCGGAAAATCGCCTCCCTCTCCCACCCTCCGGTGCACACGTCTATGTTCGTACCATTCTTGCAGCCAGGCGGTGGGTTGGGGGAGTTCGAATACCGAAAATGAGTATAAGTGCACACATACGAACACACGCACGAACATACATAGAAAGGTGACTGCGCCCCATGCTGCCCATAAAAAAAAACGGTTGTATACGCCTTTGATAAAACAGGTTACACGTTTACAAATTCGCGCCTCTGGGTTACAGGCATTGCGTCCCAACGTCCTAAGCCCTGTGGCGTGAAGTGTTCTCGGTGGCATCAACGAAAAATAACAATGAAAGAAACAGTCATCGGATGGTAATTCAGGGGAAAATAATTACGTTGAGGAACTACGCTTCGATTAAAGAGGACACCTTACCAATTGGGATTTCTTAACGCGCAATCCGACTTCGGGTGTGTGTTTGCGTTTCAGTCGCTTCAGAACGTGGCCATCAAGTGTGGATATTGAACCCACGACCTCAGTCACGTGGCCGGTCAGTCCTAACCTTCTCTTCAACGTCTCACTATGCACATATTTACATGACAGAGTGATTATGCAACAATTTTCGCTAAAGAGGCAAGAGGTAAAGTTGCGGAACCACTAAGCCGACGGCCCGCATTATGCGAAAATCGTAGGCATTTCATCAAAACGCGTAAAACTTGATATCTTACCGTTTTTGTTCATGCTAACAGCGAAGCACTTTTGGAGCCTGCAGTAGGGACACCAGTTCCTGCGAGCCTTGTCGATAATGCAGTTACCATTGCCAGCTGTGAGGGGGAAAAAAAACTGAGGTTGACTTCATAAATGTCAGTCGAAACGCTTTCTTTTTATACGAATAAGCATAATGCGCATTCATTTGTTTTGTCTGAAGCGAGAGAGAAAGAGAAAACAAAAACGATACAAAAGCAGAGACGTTAACCTGACCTAAATCCGGTAAGCTACACTACTCTGAAGAAGGGGAAGGAAAGTTAAAGAGAATTCATTTTTACACACAGTTATAATGCTCACAAAAAAGTCTGATACGCTTTCTTGGCCAACCCCCTGAGTGGATGTGAGCCATGAGTCCAAACAAACAAACAAACAAACAAACAAACAAACAAACAAACAGACAGACAGACAGACAGACAGACAGACAGACAGACAGACAGACAGACAGACAGACAAAGAAACAAACAAACAAACAAACAAAGATAAAAGTAACTGTTTCAGGCGACGTAGCAGTTCTACGTTTTATAACACTAGATAAACGGCTAATGAAACCGCTATTCTTGACAAAACTCAACAGCTCTTTCGTTGCCTTTCGGAAGAGTGATGAGTGAACTGTGATGGGAACTGGGATGGAATTTGTGGATATCCGGAGCGGTTAGTGTGCGGCAGATGTAATCGAGCAACGACAGTGTACGTTCACACCTGCGTGCCATGTTCGTGCATGCTGATACAAGCCTCGATAACGTCTGCCATCGGGCTATTTGGGGCGTAGCTAAAAATACGCCCTCCCCCTACCACCTTCTTTAAAGTTGGGAGCACGTTAAGCTGACCAGGTCGCTCGGCAAAAAAGCTCCACGTGTTTCACATCGAGGGAGAGCTTGCGCCAGGAAGAAGTCTCCCACTCCTTGTTCTTTGAGTGCCTTGATGATGATCATTTATCATCATTAACATAAAAAAACAAGTTATGCGCTTGACGTAACGAAAGCGAAACAACGTATAAAGAGGCAGCAAGCACAAAATATAAAGACGAAAAAAGGAAAATATAGAAAGAAAGACAGAATTAGCAAAGAGAAAGAAATAGATAAAGAGTGTGGAAAATAGAAATGGGTAGAAATAGAGAAGAAAGAAAAATGGAAGAAAGAAACGTCAAAGGAAAAAAAGAAAGAAAAAAAGGCGTTGAAAAAAAAAAGAAGAGGAACAAAAAAGCATGCCCTGCAGCTCCGCTTTTCTCTCAGGCTTGGCATCACCATAGAGAGAAGCGGCCCTAATTTCTTTTTTTTTTCTTTTTCGGAATGAGAAACAAGACACACGCAAAGGGAAAGACAAAGACAATCGCTTGTCTGCACTTTTTTCTCACCCAGGCCTGGTTTTGCTCCTTTAAAGAATAGGACCCTTCATTAAAAAATAAAAAAATGCTGCAGCATTGAAACACTCGAACAAAACAAGCGTAACAGGGGGGTCGAGGGCTCTTTCCTCTGTTAGACACGGCCTATTGAAATCAAAAAGATGATGGATTTGAGGGAGGTACATTATTTGCAGGTTTTAACTGCAGTATAGTAATCATGGCGTAAACAGAAATAAATTAAAGTAGATTAAAAAAACAACTTGCAAGAGGTAAAGATCAAATCTACAACCTTCAACTTTTTTTTTAATTGAGCTGCAGTGGCAGGCACTTTTCCAGCCATTTTTATTGGATATTCATTCTCCGTGTAATCCTGAAAGCGTCAGTCAGCTCCAATCGCAGCCATGACGGTGATTGTTGACTACTATTTTTTTTAACCAGTTGCCGTCACCCGAGCTCGAAGCTGACCAGTAAGCCCTCGCATAGAACCTAAGGCATCAGTCTGCCCTGACGAGACCCTCACAATTCTAAGAACTTTGCAGGTTCGGTCTCTACCCACGGCAATCTGATTTGTCATTCGCTTTAATTGCTTTCTTTCTACTTACGTCATAATAGGCCATTTTCATAATCCGCAAGTGCGCTTCCCGGCGCTTCATATTTGCCCCACAAATGGCGGCACCTGTCGTGCTTCAAGACGAGCCAACGTCCTAGTTGCACTTACTGGGGTGTTTTCCTATTATGAGTGCTTGTAGCACGATATAGTCGAGTATGCATTTTGCACGTTGTATCGCAAGCAAACTGTGATTGAATACGTCGTTTGCGGTTAGTGGCTAGTTGCCACTAGTTGGGCAAACTGAATAGCAGAAAAGCAATCTTTAAAGTTATAAAAAATGTCTAATAAGTACTATACTAAAGACAAAACCTAGAAATAGCGTTTTCTATACCCTCTTACCATGATGATATACGCCGGCTTCACCACGGACGGAACAAAACCCCGACAAGTACGTGTATTCAACTCACCGAAATCGCCAATATAATCATGTACATATCCATGTAAACCTCAGTAAGTATCGTTACGCATTGCTCACCGTCATAAGGTTGCAGCTCCCTTTTTCGGCCCTTCTACTTTCCATAATTCATTTCTTTTCCTACGACTTGCGAATACTCAGATTACCTTCCTACTCTCATAGCAGATATTAGTGATATTTAACGTTTCCGGACAGCTTCAACAGTAACTAATTAGTTTTACCTAATGCATTTTTCTTGCCTGTTCATTATACTTTTTATGTTTATCTTTATTGTAATACTGTTTGTTGCTACTCTCTTCTTTAACGCTTTGGCCCTCAGTGTACAATAAAAGAAATGAAATAAAGATTTTGTCAGAGAGGACCCACCTTTTCCTCCTCTCTGTAAAGTAGAACAGAGCAAACGTTTTTTTTTTTTCTGACGGAATTCTCCTTCTTTCTCCCATTACAGGTTTCTATATTTCTGAGTGAGTTGATGAGAGGTGCATTTAGTGACACTCTCACGCTACAAGACGGACAAGAACAAAACGAGCAGCCTCGCATAAGCACTAATCCCAAACGTTTGACGTGAATATTGAACGAAAGAAAAGAAATAAACATTCTGCTATATTGGCCCTTGTCAATGTGCTCCTCTTTCGTGGTAGTATTTATCTCGTATATGCATGTACTCTAACGTTTCAGGACGTTTTTCTAACAAACTTTACCCGAAATATCTTATACCCTCTACGCCGGTTCTCAAAGACATAGCCCACAAGCCTCTCGCTTGCGGCCCACGATCTCACGTGACTCTCTTCACTCCACTTTTTTCTTCTTAATTTTCTTAATAGGTATGTTTGGAAGCTGCACAGCTGTTACTGCTATAAAGCGCTACTTTCGTGAAGTACCCCATGTGGTCACCATGTCGCGAAACATAACCGTGAAACAAAAACTGTATGTCAGAATCGGCTTTTAAGTTTTAGTCATTTTGGAGATCGGTATCGACATGTCGTTGAACACCTGGAAACTAATGACCTCTAGAAATACCGAGCATAAGATATAACCCAACGTTTATATTTGCAATGGCAATCTTTTCTGACAATTTGTGCAAACCCCGCTTGTATACCTTCTCCCCTGTAGCGATCGGCCCTTGCAAGACTAAACTACTTGACTGCGACCCGCTGCCCTAGGTGAGTTCGAGACCTGTGCTCTGCGCCTTCGTCATGCTCTCAACGTCGCTCCTTCGCACCTACCTATGCAGGTGTAAACAATGCCACGACGTATGCTTCGCTTGAAGAAGCAGCTGCATCCGTCGCAGCAGTAGACGCCGTAGTGCTTGCCGTACGAACGGTCGCCGCACACTTTGCACGGCACGGGAACCGGCAGCGTGCGCCCTGAACAGAAAGAGTGGGAGAATGAAAGATGTGCGTACGCGTTCTACTAGATGACGTAGCGCAATTCACTCTTACAAAGGCGTGACAGTCAACCGACTGGCATGCTAACACAGCGGATAATGAGGCGGCGGGCACATTTGCTGGAAATGCCCTTGAACATAGGCAGCAAAGAGGTGGGGTGGAGTTGGGGGAGGGGGAAATTCTTGGGGTTCTAAAGGGGTTGTTCAAGAATCTGTGACCAGACATTTTCATTATTCCAGGTCTTATCAGCCCCCGCCGCGGTGGTCTAGTGGCTAAGGTACTCGGCTGTTGACCCACAGGTCGCGGGATCGAACCCCGGCTGCATTTTCGATAAATGCGAAAATGCTGTGGGCCCGTGTGCTCAGATTTGGGTGCACGGTGCACGTTAAAAAAACCCCCAGATGGTGGAAATTTCCGGAGCCCTCAACTACGGCGTCTCTCACAGTCATATAGTGATTTCAGGACGGTAAACCCCGCATACCAATAAAGGCCTTACCAGCCATATGTTTTGGTTTTCATTTGGTCTAAATGACGTATTATTTCGTAAATGTTTTGTACTGGGACACCCTCCCTTAGGAGAGGATGGTGGGGATAAATAATAACTTCATGCAAAATCATTATGACCCCCATATGTGGGATAATGTATGAGCATAACAGCGCCAAAATGCCTGCGCTTTCATGTGGTACAAAGGTGCAGAAGTTCACGAGAGTGCATGTCACAAATATACTACTTGGTTTCCTAGACAAACAGCCAGAAAAAATTTGCAACGCAAAGTATGTTTAGTGTCACAAACCTGAAATGACTTCGATGTCAGATGCCCGTGTTGTATACGAGAAATACGAGTACGCGAGACTGATAATTAAAACGTGCACAATTTTGGGGGAATTTCAGAACAGGAAAAGAAGACTGCTCCGACGTGGGGACCTGGATTGAGTCATTTCTTTTCTATAGTTCAATAGGCGTGGTCCTCGGGCTTCGTTGAAAGAGAAACCAACTGACGAGCAGCTGTCGTTTCGCACTGACGTGAGCGGACAACGAAGAATGGCGGTGCGGTTTGTTGCGTAGAGATAATGGAGCGTTTCCTACTAGAACAACAATTCAGCCATGCCTATAGTATTTTTTGTTGTTTAACGCCCCACAATTCACCCATACAAGGGTACAATGATGTGCTTGTCACTTATTTTCGGGGGAATCACTCATCGAGCATCGTTTCTGACAATTGGGATTGAACTGGAAGTGCTATACGCAAACCACTGAGCGTCAACGCATGGTTGCTTGCAATAAAGTTTAGCCTTTATGTGCTAACACGTCATTCGGATTGATAAAAGAGCACCCACCTGTCCGGCCCCGGCTGTGAGACGAAAACATGCATGCAATATAGGAACGGGAGCTTTGCTGATGACTGAAAAGATCAGTAAGGGATATTCGCAATGATAACTATAGATGCACGAAAACCTGATTAGATCAAGCAAGTTCGGTGACTGATATTTCAACATATTATCTCAATTTTATCTTCAGCCTTCTACATGAGTCGCATTTCACGAACGTCGCCGGCGGACTACTGATTTAATATATGCCAGGAAAGAAAGATTTGATTGATATGTGGGGTTTAACGTCCCAAAACCACCATATGATTATGAGAGACGCAGTAGTGGAGGGCTCCGGAGATTTCGACCACCTGGTGTTCTTTAACGTGCACCCAAGTCTGAGCACACGGGCCTACAACATTTCCGCCTCCATCGGAAATGCAGCCGCCGCAGCCGGGATTCGAACCCGCGACCTGCGGGTCTGCAGCCGAGTACCTTAGCCACTAGACCACCGCGGCGGGGCGGAAAAGAAAGAAAAAAAGTAATTGTGAATAACGCGAATGATATCTAAGAATAAGTTTAGAGCGTGCATTGGGGTGTTGTTACTTGTGATCCAGTGTTGCTACTGTATGTTACGGGTGAAGCTGCCTTTATCGTCGCGTGACCGTCTACGCCACACAGTACCACCGGTACTATCGCCGCATGGTGGTATCATACTGCCATGTGGTTCTTTAGTGCTGTATTAGTTCATTGTACCCAGAATCGACTCACGAAAACGGTTTAACCGTCACAAAAAAAAATTCGGTTACTTCGTACACAGACAATGACAAACGTGTTTAAACATATTCATCTATTAAACATATGACGACAGGATTAAGCTTAGATATCTATCTCCACTGCTTTAGATTGCAAAAAAACGAACTGCCGGCTTTTATTTGTGCTAGACGTGTGTGAGTTCATTTGCAATCCAAGCAATTGAAATACCGACTGGTTTTAAAACATCACGGTGAAAGGTGCAGTCAGAAACTATTTCTAATCGTCAGTGATTGAAATTACAATGTTCACGAGCAAAATGCAGAGTGACATAACCTTCTACCTGGAGCTTCTACTTAGGTGTAACTTCAAGCATTAGCGCAGTAGACATATCAAGGATCTTAATTATACCTAACCACATATAACATTTGGAGAAATTAAGTTTTTTAGAGCATATAGTGTTTTAATTAGAGCGATTTTAAAACTTGTCCTAAATTTTCTCACAGACACATTAACTTCTTGTTTAGGTGTTCATTGTAGTATTGTAGGCAATGTGCAAAAAAAGAGAAAGTATACCGTGTTTTTTAGGCCGGTAAATAAGCTAAGAAAAAAATAGATCATAAATAAGTCGTAACTTAGCCTGTATTCGCTGTGGCTTTATAAGGAATTAAATTCTCCATATAGGAAAGGAATGAAGCTGAGAAAAAGAATATTCTGTGACGTCATGACCATGTCCCCGTGGTACGAAATGTCCCGTCTATGCAACAGTAGGTGATTAAACCTGTTGAAGGCGTCTGCTATAAGCTTTGAAAGTAGAACAATAATTACAATGCGAGTCACGAATCAGAGCCAGCTCGGTCAAGTGATCGGAGGGGTACTCACCCATGGTTCGATGGATGACGGGACGAAGTGGATCGAGATGGAAGAAGCAGATATCAGGGAGCATCCCGTGACGTTGCCGTCCGGGCAACCGCGCGACGGTTGCCATGGCGACTGCGCCGCCAGTCGCGGCTCTCCATTGGTCAGAAGTCAGGCTCACCTCTTCGCCGATAGGAGGAGCACGCGGGACTCTTCCCCGTTCCTCATTAATATTACGCGCCGAATGCTTGCGCTGGACGCGACCGGGGCAGCGACTGGGATCGCGGGGCGAGTGAGTTTTGATTTGAACGTAAAAGAGAAAGCGAGTGGTGATTGAAAGGGGGATCGCGGACTGAGGAAAGCGTTCGATAATTAGTTCAGTTGAACGAGAAAGCAAGTATGAGATTTTATATATGAAGAGAGGAAAAGGGGGGGGGGCGACGCGAAAAGAGAAATGGCCTTCTAAAAACAAAAATTGATAGCCGTCTTCTACCCTTGCAAAGCCCGTGGAAAATATAGATAGCAAGAGAAAGTGTGTGATGGAGAAAGAAAATGGAGAGTAGGGTACAGAATTTGGAAGACCACGTGATAGAGAATAACTTCAAATATTTCTAGCTGAGCAAGCATTTTTGGTACATGAAATGAAATTCGCACAGCTAGAAAATGTTCATGTTATACCGTTTTTTGTTTAATAATCTTTTCTAAATAAGTTTTCCAACGATTAAGTGTCTTTTTTGCCTATTATGTAGCGTCTCGCTTCTGTTTTTACAGAAAAAAACACTTATGAGCATTGCCAGGTAATAGTAATGTGAACTTCACTTAATAGAATTTTTTACTGGGTGAGTTGCTGCATTGTCTGACAATCTTTCGCACTCTACTTTAAATATTTTTATTAAACTACACGTTTGCCACATCTGTGCAAAGATGTAAATAAAACACGTGTAAGTCGAACATTAAAATTGTGCCACAAAAGTAAAATAAGTATTGTGGAGCGGCAGAAAGAGAGATAGAAAAAAAATATTACACAGATCAGTTTTCCCGTTTCTGGAAGGAGATTAAATTATTTGTGCTGTCTTTCAGCCAGACCTTGCACATGAGAAAGCTTTTCTGCGTGCATACTAATGCTGAGGTGGAGCATAATCTACAGTACAAAAGTAGTCCGGATCGGTCTGCATTACCCTCCTGTTGTCCGTTTGAATTGTACCACAATCGGAAGGCGAAATTGGGCTGTGGCACCATCGGTACTGAAATGGAGTACCGCCGGTAACACAAATGGCATGGTGGTACTACCTGTACAGACACTATCGGTGGCATTGGTACCAGATAACCTTGCCACTGATACAGTCGTACGCCGGCATCACTTTCATTCGGTGGCTCAGTTCAGTGGTGTCTCTTCTCCTAATACCGCGCGTTACTACCAGTACCAGTAAACCTTGTGGTGATACTATTGTTGTCGATAACTTCGACAGCACCAATATGAGACATACGTTCAGGGTTGCAAAATGGAAAAAGTTGGGAGCATATACGACCAGAAAATGTGGAGGTAACTCACCAATATGTCTTGGGCTCTTCTCCCTCCGCACATTTACCAACATTGTGGTGAAGTACCTTTTACAAGACAAAGGTATCTATCTATCTATCTATCTATCTATCTATCTATCTATCTATCTATCTATCTATCTATCTATCTATCTATCTATCTATCTATCTATCTATCTATCTATCTATCTATCTATCTATCTATCTATCTATCTATCTATCTATCTATCTATCTATCTATCTATCTATCTATCTATCTATCTATCTATCTATCTATCTATCTATCTATCTATCTATCTATCTATCTATCTATCTATCTATCTATCTATCTATCTATTTCTGTATGTCTGTCTGTTTCTGTCTGTCTGTCTGTTTGTTCGTCCGTTTGTTCGTCCTCCTAACACTGAACCATTCGAAGGAAGAGTCAACAGTAGCTTCTCCGCAGCAATACTAGTGGTCAGGCAGAGCACGCTTTACAGGACAAAACGAGCTCCTGTTAGGTGCAGTCGGTCAGTTTGTCGTTCAGAAGGCGGAGAATGACGACAGCAATATGTTTATGATGAATTGAAAAAGAAAGCACGCTCTCTCTCTCTCTGGAAAAAAAAGGGGAACTTATGACGTGAATGGTATGCGTATCAGATACGAAAAACACAGTTGTAATCAGGACACCTCACAATCAGCAATGAACTTTCCCAGCCAGCAGGATGGCAGTAGTTGCAGAAAGGCATATCGTGACAGAAACCAACGTTTGGTAAGAGTGAGCGAACGAAAAGAAAAGCTTCATGGCACAGCTACGATCACGCAATGCATGTGACGCGCAGGCGCACATCAGTCGCGCGGTGACAGCGGTGAAGCGACGGGGTATGTGAACGCAGTCGGGAAAGGACAGCATCGTCGTGGAGATCGTCACTCTAGCTCCAGCAATGGATGAAGGAGGACACAAAGCTGCAAAAAAGAAGTAACGGACACCGTAAGCCACACATACAAAGAGAGCCAGCCATTTCGCCGGCACCTCGCTCAGACGTTATCGACACTGTGCCCGCCCGCCCCGCCAAGCTCATTCATTATTTCTATCCGCCGAAGGATGGCGTACGCTTTTTTTCCCGGCGGCGAGTGGCTTTGTCCGTGAGTGCGAACGAGTGCGGCTGCCGTTCGCAACGTGACACCCAAATGGCTGAGCAGACACGTCAGGCATCAAGTGTCCCACTCTCTCGCCACTCGAACTGCTGCAGCTAAAAACTGCTCCCTTTCGTCGTCGAAGGCGACAGCAATGCCTCCCCTCACGCTCGCCATCAGCGCCAAGACGCAAAGTGTATTCTCCTTGCCTCGAAGACTCGCTTCCAAATCTAGCTTTTCTCTCTTTTCGATCCCTCTAGCGCACCCTCACGTCTCCTGCGCGTCTCCTTGTCCAGCCTTCATCCTTGTCTTTTACTTCTTCCTCTTCATCAGTTTCCAACCATCGTCTCCATTTTGTTTGTGTTATATTTTTATCGGTGCTTCACATTGCGTTTTTGTCTAGCAGGACGCCGTTTCTGAGGTTTTAATTTCTTCCAGGCGGGCTGCCCCTTCCCCACCTCTCTTTTCTCGCGCCGCAACAGCAGCAGAGCTAAAAGTTTTGCTCAAGGTTTGTCCGCAGTGGCGATACTTGTAAACTTGTTTTGGAACTTATAAAGTGTCTACCGCTTTGTTTCGTTTGTCTCGCATTTCACCGTCTTTCGTCTTTTCTTTTTTAATCCTCCCGACGCGCCGTCAAGAGGAAAGATCTCTCTTGGCTCTCTCAACGGGTCGTCTGAATAATTTCCGAGCGTGGTGACGGTATCGCACCCGGTTCCATGGGAAGCCAAGAAACTAGTCGCATGGCCCCCTTTTTTTCGACCTTAAATTGATGTTGAAGAGGAGTCCTTGATCGGTCCGAGTTCTTGCTTTTGCGTTCGCTGTCTCTGAGTGCTATAACGCAAGTTGGCGAACGCTATGTTAAGCATTCTTATTTCAGCACAACTTCACCTTTTCGTTCGATTGGATAGCTTTGGTGCTGTCATTCTACGAAAAGAACGCAAGAAGCGACGAAGCTTGCAGAAGTTTTGCAGATATAGATTCTTTCGTCAAACAAAGCAACATAGAAATGAATATGCTGGAATGAATGGCTCGGTTTCTTGTTTCACTTTGTGTTTTTGGCAATAAGCGCTAGGCAGAGATTCACCACGCAGCTTTATAAAACCGTCCAACTTGTTATTCTTAGAAGTCTCGTTCCGTACGTACTAGACGTTGACTAATGTATACGCGTTCAGAGTTCATAGTTACGCGTATTGAATTTCATTCATCGAATGCGAATGGTTGCATTGCGAATGCGAATGGTTGCATTGATTATACGATTTGCCGTGGCCTAATACTGCTACACAAAAGCTATAGAGGTGTTGTCGTTAGATTCTGTTTAATTACTTTTGAGAGCATAATGAAAGGTCATAGTTATTTACGTTAGACTTGTCAGTTCGATATTAGGCACACAAACACACAAAATTTTGGAGTATCTGTCGCCAGATACGTCACCGGTTTTTGAAATCTTCTCTCATTCACACAGCCTTTACGTTCACATGTCTGGCGTGTATACACGTATTTTTACGTTATTTCTTCAAAAAAATGAATCTTTATAAAAAAATTTTTTTAGCTTCTTTCTTTCGCGAACTTCGCGTGAAGAAATTCATTATTCCGGTAATACTGACTTTGCCTGATATGCCGCTCCGCGGAACTTTCACACAGCAGGCATCTTCACTGTAGGATGCTATCTCTCATTTCTTGAGAGAGACAAGAACAATTGCGCTGCGAAGGTTCCCTTTTGAAGGCGAGGCCTCACGTATAGGCGACGCTAACCATGTCAGGCTGTTTTAATTCCACCTATTTCGTAGCGCGACTGACGACTGGTTCCCCAGAATGGGTTGTGCTAAGAGAAGCAAGCAGGAGAGCAAGTTACCGAAGCCGTGTCCGCCTCAACCTTCGACGATTAGTACCAAAGCAAAGGGCAGCCATGAATCGACGCGATCACGCAACTGCCTGCTCGACGTGCTGTTTCGCCGTGGAGTCGTTAGTCACACGAAAAAAAAACATAATTGAAAAGAGCGAGCTTACGCGCGTCGTGCGATGTTCAGCGTGTCGCGTGGGAGAAAAGCCACGAGCTCGAACGTGAACCCTACGCGTGGCTTGGTATAAACCCGGCTTCGAGTGAGCCTACCGTGGCGATTCTAAAATCAACTTTCATTACGTTGTCTCTTCAGTTGTGTTTGTTTTTGCTGCCTTGAACTCGCGAGGCGCTGGTGAAAAAAAAAGGGGGGCAAAGATGAAGCGGTAGACGTCTTAATGACTTCGCTGGGCATGCATAATTTACCGATCGATCGTTGTACTGCCTAACCGGTGAACTCGGAGCAAAGCATCGTTAATGTGCGTGAACTTGCGGTCGAAAAGAGAACAGAAATAACAACACTCACCGTGGAAGGC